ACTTTCTAGTACAGCTTTAGTGCGCGGAGTATCTGGGGAGCTGGAAGCTGAGAACTGGCGACTTTGTATTGTACAACTTTAGTACGCTACTTTGTAGTACAACTTCTAGTACATCAGGGAGCACAGACCTTGCACAGGTGGCGCTGTGTTGGTCAAAAGTCCGGAGCGCACGCGTCTGACTGAGGGACACGAGGGACACGCATGGTGGAAAGAACCGGGACACTCCTATAGGTCAATTTGTTCTTATAGGAAACTTCCGCCGCCGGCTTGCCCGGGAACTACTTGTATTTTTTATGCGTCGTTTGGATGTTCGAGTTTTGCGAGGCATACCCCCAAAGCATACCTCCGGAGCATACTCCATAGTCTAACATCCCACCACCCGCGGTCTCCACATGCGGCTTAGGACCGGAGGCTCCCAACGAGGGGATCTGGTATTTGCACTTCCGGCTTTACAAAGAAGGCGGGGATATTTCCTGCAGGAGGCTTCGACGATGTGTTGCTGACTCTTCCTTCAGATTGAACTCTTTGGACCCGTTTTAGCTAGGCTAGGACAGATACTCATGACTCATGACTCATGATACTTTCTTTTGGCGCATGTGGCCAGCATGGAATCCAGCTCAAGTAACCGCTTTCAAGCGGCATCATGTGGCTGAAAAAACTGAGGGATGGACACCTTGGAAGCTTTGTCTCGCGTGGGAAAAGCTTTGGGGCGGCCGCCTCGGCACTTCCGCTTCGCAGGGCACAAGGACTGCCGCAGTACCAACCTCACGCTGGTGAAGTGCATTACTATACTAGTAACAAGAAACTACTAGCAACCAGTGCATCGCTACAAGTGCATCATAGTGTATCGCTACTTTGTTATTGGTTGACCACGACGCGGAAGGTAATGGATTGACAGTCGATCTTTCGATCGTTCAATCCTCGGGCTGTTCGACCCATTCCATCGTTCCGGGTGGTCACGGGTGCTGACTCACGAGTGCACCTCTTCGAAAAAAAAACCGCGACAAGAAGAGGAATTAGCATGTTTTGTTCAGTTCAGTTCAGGTTAGGTCGAACATAGAATTAGTTCAGTTCAGGTCGAACATAGTCGTGGTCTCGCCACTTGGACGTCCATTGCATCCCAAGCAGGCCTGAAGAGAGAAGTCATGTTTCATTTGTTTGGCTGAGGGGGGTGGGGGGGGAATTGAACGGTCTTACTGACAAAGCAGAGCTTGATCCTATACAGATTCTCTAATTCGCTTGACACGATCATCCATCCAGAATGGCAACTGTCGTATGGACTTCGTTTCGACTCACACACCATGACTACGTCCAGGACCGCTGCGCGGTGACAGTACAGCAAGTGAGTTGCAGCTCCTTGCGGCCACAAGAGCTCAGACATGCAATGCAGCAGGAGGAGACATGGAGATCAGTTCATATCAGTTCGTTGTATGGCTGGAAGATGCAAGATCATGCAAGAACCAAAGGAGTAGAGAAGCACACACCAGACATTCGCTTGACATCGCTTGACTACAGAGGATTCTATTCCACCTGCAAACCGAGATGTGGAGAAACATCCCTTCAACCTGTCCAAGATGGGTTTTGGAGGTGGCAGGTGATGTAGTTGCCCCTTAGGGGTCAACCCTAACAAACGGGATACGGCACTGTATACTGATGTGAAGTACTAGCCGCTAGCTGGTCTGTGGTGTGTATGCTACAATTTGGTGGACCAGATCTTTCTGATTCTGCAGAATGCTTTGACAGAAACACCCTATCGAATCGACAGCCACTCAAATTGGGTTCAACTTCATGTCGGCATTGCCGGGGGTGCCTCAACAGCCAGCCACTCGCACCGGCGTCGGCCGTGTCTCACCTCTGGGGCGGTGCGGACCCGAGGAGTGGGACTCGCGCTTGCAGCTCTCCCACTTGCAGATCAAGCGTCGACCACTGCACCTCGGCGACCTCTCAGGGAACCGCTTCCAGGTGGTCCTCCGTCACGTGGACCAGGCCGGTGCATTTGGTGCGCCCACCGTGTGTTGTCTTAGACCTCGGAATGATCATATCTTAGTAGTAGAGTATACAATAACGAATCTTAAGTTGATCGACCCCCCCCGGTACGGGGAGTTTTTACCATCCAATCCTAATAGGGCAGTTTTTGAATCAAGATTCTACGTATGACATGCATGATACAAGGACTAGAGGGTCTAGAGGATACCGATGAAGCCCTCTCTCACCAGGAGGCTTCACTGGTGGAAGCACATCTTCACAAGTTGGAGGAACATGGATTCCTGAACTACTTCGGGACTCAGAGGTGCGGCCAGACACCAAGCCACTCCAAGCCACGTCTGACACGTCCGATGTTCGGCGGTGCATCGTCGCCATCACCTGGCAAACCCCAGGGCCCTAGGCCGATGGGTTGATGATGGTTGATGATGGTTGATGCATGTACGGCTCAGAGGTGAATTGGTCCACGTTGCGCATGGGACGTGGTTCCAACACCTGCCGTACCGGTGCATCGTCGCCATCACCTCCCGGTCGCCGTACCGGGACACTGCCGGGAGGTTTGGAACTCAAGTGATTCGCGGTTACCATGTGACTTGGCGTGGCTACCATCGAACCTGCGAACCGGCCGGCTCCGGGTACGTGAGGTGAACGATCGAGATGGTTGGAAGACATATGAAGACATGGTTTCGCCATGTTTCGCCGTTCGACGTGCACATAAAAGGGCATTACTACTAGTAGCAAGAACGCTACTAGTAGCTCCTGGCATTACCACTAGGAACAAGAAGCTATTAGTAGAATTTGCCAGCCTTTGTGCTGACTAAAAGGAGTGTGCCTTCGTGCAATATGTTGCGAACGTAGCGATGCCCTTGTTCCTAGTAGTAGCGATGCCAGGAGCTATGTTCGTAGCGTCCTTGCCACAGTCGGGGTCGGCCATCGCCAACCCAGGTCGGGTCGGCTCTCCTGAGCCACGACTTTCCTCGAGCTGTCCGTGCCTTGCCTGGACGAGATCTCGTCGGAGAAGAACGATCCGCTTCGAATCCAACAGTTCTGAACCATACTGAAAAATATGGCCTTGGATGGCCTTGGTATGTTGCTTAATTACTGGTTACTGAACCTAGGATCTTTGCATATATAATATATAATATATATATATATTATATAATATATTATATAAGGAGTGTCCACTTAGGAGTGGCTCCTTTCCAATTAACAAGTGAGCCTTTGTGTAACAGCATGTTCAGGAAGAGTCATGGGCAGCGCACACCAACCTTTTGGCTCAAACCCCACGAGCTGTCGCCATCTGTGTGGCCAAGACCTCAGCCGGAAAAGCTTTTCAGCTTTCCCCTTCAAAGGACTTGAGGTACTTTTGAATGACAGGGTGATCACGTGGGCCATCATTGATGATCCACCTTGGCTGGGTTCTATTCTATGGTTGAGAACTCGACCCAATCTTTGAGCACAACAAAAACATACACAAAGAGTTTGGGACAAGAAAAAGGGTGCTGGAAAGATTCTCAACTCAGGGCTAGTGGCCTCTTGCGAGCAAAATTCGCAGCATGCTTTGCATCTCTCTTGTGCAAGCCTTCATGCAACGCTGCAACCCACGCTGCACAGTAGACCTTAGAAAAATCAAGTGACGTGCAGAGTTTGATGTTCTCCTTTTGCACCAATCTATTCATTCCAAGAAGCACTATGCAGCTTCTTTTCCACATCATCTTTGATTTTCCTGGTTTTGGCAGCCTTGGAGTCCTTGTCGTTGTCCTTCTTGTCAGCAGCTTTGGGCTTGCAAGCAGCTTTTGCTTGTGACTTCGCCTTTGGAGCGGCATTGTGACCCTTGGACTGTTTCTTTGCAGCGGCTTTGAGACCTTTGGCCTGGTTCTTTGCAGCGGCATTGAGACCCTTGGCACTACCCTTGGCCTGGTTCTTTGCAGCGGGAAGCTTGGGATTCTTGGGCATAGCTTTTTGCTTGGGTGTGGCACCCAAAGAACGACTTGCTGGTGGGACACTTTCTTGCTTTTTGGCTGCCACCTGCTTCAGCTTTTCTGGGTCCTGCATGTTTATCACCGGAGCATGCTCAGTTTGTTTGCACACGTGTGTGCCATGTTTGTCACATATGGTCCACTACAGCATGCTGCTTTTGCACAACATTTTTTCCTTGCCTTGCATCAGATGCATGAAAACCTTTGTCCTCCATGCGCTCTTCTTCTGATGGCTGGCCCCGCTTTACTTCATCTTTGTACTCCATGGACTTGTTGGGCGCTTTGGGCTGGTCATTGGGCTCCATGGACTCGTCGTTGGGCTTGATGGACTTGCTGTTGGGCTCCATGGACGTGTCATAGGGCTCCTTGGGCGTGTCACTAACATTCATGGACTTCTCCTTGGTGGGCCCTTTGGGCTGGTCATTGGGCTCCATGGAGTTGTCGTTGGGCTTGATGGACTTGTCGTTGGGCTTGATGGACTTGTCGTTGGGCTTGATGGACTTGCCGTTGGGCTCCATGGACGTGTCATTGGGCTCCATGGGCGTGTCACTAACACTCATGGACTTCTCCTTGGTGTGCCCTTTGGGCTGGTCATTGGGCTCCATGGAGTTGTCATTGGGCTTGATGGACTTGTCGTTGGGCTTGATGGACTTGCCGTTGGGCTCCATGGACGTGTCGTTGGGCTCCATGGGCGTGCCACTAACCTCCATGGAGCTCTCGTTGAGCTCTTCCTCTCGTGCACCAGTGTACTCTTCAGCAACTGGCTCACCTGACATTGGCAAGGTCTCTGCACTAGGGGACGCCACCAAAGTTTCCACAGCAAAGATGTAAGGGAAACCGGTTTCTGCGAGCGCATTGCGGATGACCTCATCGCTGAATTCCGCATTGTCCTGTTTCAAGCATTTTTTAACAAAGGAAAAACTGATCCAATAATAGACCAGCAATGGACAGGTCAGTGTGTGTCCCACAATCAGTGTGGGGTGCCATTGGAATCAGTTTGGGGTTACTGTCTTGACAACATTTGAGGTTGAATACCGGCTCAAAGCAAAACCAACATCTAAGGTTGCACATGGCACAGCTCCTTTTCCTGGACCATGAGGCTGGACAAGTCTTGATGGAGTTCAGCACGTCGAAGACGCTTTCTTCCATATTTCATAGGAGATGCAGCAGCCTCATGTTCAATACATAACACACTATCATCCATTTGTTGAGTGAACAAAATTTGGACACCACATGCCTTGACTTCCTCTGCCAAGCCAAGTTGGTCTTGCAAGCCAAGTTGGTTGTCCGGGTGTTCGAAGACACACTTCCTGCCCATAGGCGTCTCATCATATTCCACATCTTCTTGAATAACATTGAGGGGATAGAGGTCACTGAGATCTTCTTTCCACTCCCTTGGTTATCAAAGCGCTTCCAGATCATACCTCCTTGAAGACAAGTTGCTGTTTGGCTTTCAATAGATTGCAATGGCCAAGCAACATAAAAGATTGCAACGCTGTTGGATTCATTGAATCGTGCCTGTGAGAAAGACACACACTGTTGCACCAAATAAAAACAGTCTAGTATAGTTAGGTCCCTTGTCTTTAGCGTTCGCTAGCCAGTAGCTGGGTTGCAAGCAAGATGCTTGCAGTCCTCACCATCAACAGATCCCCCATCAGTCTCTTCAAGCGCGTCTGCAATTGTTGCCATGCCAGCCTCCTGCATTCACAGGGACGTTCAAACTGTTACTGCATGAAAGTAATGATCAAACATGAACATAGCAAATGATTGGTTGAGAAGTTGAGAAATGTTAAAACCAGACACATCTCTCCACACCTTGTTCTTGTTGGTTGTAGATGATCCCGTGTGTCGACTTGGTTTTTTGCAAGTGCGACCAGCTGGTTTTTTTTCTGGGAATGTCCAGCAGCTTTTGCAAGCCATCCAAACCGTCCAGGTCTCCATCATCTGGGTCTTCATCATCTTCAAGGCCGAGGGGAACGTGGTCAGCGGTGTCACCATTATCCTCCTCTTCTTTCTTCTTTCTCTTTTTGGTTTCAGCCTTGCTTTTGGGCACCTTTTTCACAGTACCCTTCTGTTCTGACGATGACTCTTCTGTAGATGATGCCACCCTAGGTGGCAACCTATGGAACCCCGCGGAAGAAGCAGCAGCACAAGCCACTGGCGGTGCAGAGCCTAACAAAATGCACAGAAGCTAAAGCGGAGCAGAAGCAAAACCCAAGAAAGAACCTGAACAGAACCTTGAATTCCTCTCCCATGCCTGAAGAAGTGCGGCTGATAGCCACTGGCGCCGCTGTACTTTTGGGAGCCCCAGGTGCTTTTGGCAATGGCGATGAACATGCCCCCCCGTGACGGTGGTGTTTGCAAAATTGAGGAAAGACTGAACTCCTTGGCCAGAACTGTCCAACATGTTATATACAGAAGTTCTTTCTGGGTAGGTTTGTTGTTGGTTGAGCAGGTCTAAATATTATGTGCATACAGCTAAGGTGCTGGAGGTCGAAAGGCCGTGTTCACTGAGACAATCTCCACTTCATCACCCATTGATCTCTCACCAGACCGACGTCTGCGGTTGGTCATGATTTACAAGCTGCAACTTTGAGCCCTGTCCCTTGGGCATTACTTTTTTCAAGGGCCACTTCAATGCCAAGCCAAAGCAACTTAATAGCTCAAGACACATCTACAATCTCACATTGCACAAAGTTGTTCCACTAGCGCAACAGGTTTGTGCAGCACTGCCGATTGCAGCTGCCCCGCTGATCCCCACAGAAACTTCTCACGCTTTGCAGGGGCCACCAAACAAATCACATCTAGTTTTGAACTGTTCAATTGTCACTAGAAAAAAATTGTTCATCTTGAAACGACCCCACGAAAGCTCCCCTAGAAATGCCAAACATTCAATTGGCTACATTAGTCGAACAATTGTTTGTCCAACTTCAAGTGCCCCAGAGAGGCAGGCAATGGGCCGTGTTGGAGTCAGCACCTTGGCGCCACTGGTAGCATCGGAGTCCAACCTAGCAACGTGCCAAGCTCCATGTCATTTTTTCAAGAGTCAAAACTGCAAGACTGTTAAGCGGACTGTTAAGCAAGATCATTCAACAAACCAGGCCTGCACCTGAAGCCAACAGTGAACTTTGAACAGTTCTTGAAAGAGCTGATGTTCAATGCACTCCCAAAGCTCGTCACGGTTGAACTTGATTTGTCCTTTTTCTTTTTTTTCTTTTTCTTTCCTTCTTCCTCATCCTTTGGCGGGTCAAGGGCAAACACCAAGCTCTTCTCAGAAGCCACATGATCGCGGGCATCATTGAGCTTGTGGTGGGAAATGGCCAGTTTGACCTGCTAAGGCAGCAAAGAAACCACATTCAATGGTTTGTTTTGTTATATCAACCGTGATGTGTTTGAAAACTGCATTCCAAGAGATTGGTGACAGTGAGCCAGCATCAACAATCTATATTATATATATTATATATATAACAGTCACAGTGCACATATCACAATGAATCAGTGTGCGTTTGTGTTAAGAACACCTATGACCAAGGGTGTGGGAGTGGAAGAGTTTTCTTAACCAGAGATGTCCTCCAGCCTCTCCAGAATCTTCAAGTTCACGAATCACTTCATTCAAGGTAGATGGAGTTTCAACGCATGGGAGGCCAGATAGGTGAGTTGGCATCCCCTTCTTTTCCATGACCAAAATCGTGCTGAGATCAATGGCGAAAGAAAACCACCTCCCTGCAGCGTCCTTGACCAGTTCATTTGCTTCCTGAGAATGGTGGCCGTGGTTGAGACGAGAGGCCAGGCTTGGAAACAAGGTGAAGTGAAGCAAGGATGAAACATTGCTAGAAAAGTGTCAGCACCATTTCTCCACTCACCACTTCCAAAGGAGAACCTGGGCTGCAGACCAAATGCCAAGTGTTTCAAAAGGAAGCAAAACCCGTATCTCAAGAGCTGCACAATCAGCCAAAGAACAGTTCACGATGTGCAGTCATGTTGTTGCGGCCACGGCTTGCTAAGTAAA